CTGGTTGGAACTCCCAATAAAGGTTTTCCTACCATCACATCAGCGACGTCTTCTAAAGTCTATATAGATGTAGGTACTCACCTGATCCGCCGTCCCCTCCTAGGAAACTTTCGCCGTTTCATCATCAATCATAATCTTCTTAAAATTTCCACCCGCCAACGCCGCCTCCACAATAAGCTGTACCATACACGCTTGTTCCAACCCAATAAACAAAAACGCAGCCTCATCCACCGTACCACAAACACTCATCAACCCATAATTCCTTAGAATCAGCGCCTTCCCCTTCCCCTTTCCTGGTCCTCCCAATGAAGCCGCAAGCCTCTTCTCTTCCTCCTCACTCATCACCACCCCACCAAAGTGATCGTAAACCCCCAACGCATCCCATGAAACATGCACGTATCCTGACTCAACATATCAATCTTCCTCCCCATCGCACTTCACGCCTTCCCGTACGGAGTGTGCATATGGCACCCAGCCTGGATGTCTGGCCTCGCCCGGTGAACAGCACTGTGAATGAAATATCCCGCCGCATTCACGGGCTTATCTTTGTTTCCGTCGATAGGCTCGCCGTGTTCATCGACGAGGACTATATCTGAAGGCCGCATCATGGCGAAGTGTCGCCCAAATGGGTTCGTCCAATGTTTTTGGGTTCTCTGGATCCCGAACGGAGATGTGGCCGGACATGCCTTCGTTGGAACCGCGCGAGGCGAAGGCGCGGAAGGCGGCGCACATGTGGGATTTAATGTGGGCGCGGTGAGCTTCGATGGTGGGGAATTCTTCGCGGCGGGGAGGGGAGGGGAGTCGGACTCCAAGGACATCTTTTCGCGAGGGTTCGACCCTTGGTTACCGGGTTTTGTGGCGGTGGATGGGGGTGCCATGGTGTGGAATGATTGGAAACGAGGGTGGATTCGAAGGATTCGGTGTGGAATGTTGAGTGGAATCTTTGCCATGGAGGAGAGGAAAGGGATTGTTTCTTTTATTTACTGTAGACTGTACAATATAGAGACGGGCTTGAATGGTATTCTACCCGAGTCTCGTCGCCTCAAGTCGACGAAGTTATTGGAGTACATTACCCCAATGGCAGTGGGGTGGAAGACAGCGGCGATAGGTACCCTGGAAGAGCGTTTGGGTATATTAGTGACCTTGATATCAAGTTCTTTTAACCTTGAAATTAGAGCTTGTTTAGGTTCGAATGACAATTACTCGCACTTCCGGTCTATCGGTTTGTGAACACCAGTAAGCTCTTCACCGTCTTTTCCCATAGGTATACGGTACATAATTGTGACTCTGTGAGAGCAGCACCCACAGTTCCTAGAAAGACTGATGCATACGGAGATTTTCCGATGTCTAACTACTTTACGATCCATTCCGATCTTGGTCGCCACCCCATAAAGCAGGACTTTTCCTAGATCCCATTTGTGAGCTTCCACCAATCTCTCGAGCTTTTCAACGCACGCAAGAAGAGATGTACATTGAGGGCAGCATTCGGCCATGGGATGAGAGAACTGGGTGGGGTGGGGGGAGGGAGCATATATAGAGTGAGGCTCGGTTCGTCTTGGATACGGAGTAGGTTCGTGTTGAGAGAACATATGGAGAACAAACAGTATTAAGGTTAGAAGCAAACACAAGAAATACAAAACAGTGTCCGTGGGCTGCATCTCGATTAGGGGAAGCATGTACGCATTGACTAAAATAGCCATGTAGAGAGCTTCCCAGAATGTTAACTCCCCATCTATGTTTGGGCTTATTTTGAACTTTAAACCAAAGTGGTGGTCATGCAAACTGCTGACGCTGGGGCCTCAACCTTTTTCAAGCTAACGCTAGTCGCTCAATGGGCGGGAAAGGGAGGTTATCATGAACTCTTCTTTGATAGTTTGTCCGCTAATTCAAGACATCTATCAATGTATTCCTTGATGATAGGATCAGAGGTATCTGAAGGGTTTAACTCATCGACCTCACCAGGTTCGTCAGCGTTATAATCAATGCCTGGCTCCTCAAAACTGTTGTCTTTATCCATCTAGAATCGATCAGCAACTGATTATCTTCCACTCTACGTGAATTTTACCCAGGAATCGTTATGGAAGTTACTTGACACAATCAGAAGTTATATCGATTCTGTATTGTTTGGGTATGTTATACGGGAGGATATCAGTATCTTGTATACGTACCCTCTAGTTCCTCCCGGGAGCAAAGCCGCCACCCTCTCAACATTGATGGTATTCAGCCCTCGTCTGCCTCCTCGTACATGAACCATCTGCCAGGTAGTGAAGACTGGAAGCGGATGTAATGATGGCCCTGGCGAATTCCTGGCGGTGTACAATGGACTGTTGCCGCTTGTTAGGCTTGTTAGCTGGGGTGGCGGAGGTAAATTTGTGGTAGCATAGATTGCGTGAGTAACAGAAAAACTATTTTGTGATTCGCGGAGGTAGTAGTGGCAGTTCGGGTCGTAGGTTAGACCCCCGCTCTTAAAACTCTCAGCTGTGGTTTAAAAGGCTCTATGTATTGTCAGTGGGTCTATTGACAATCCAACAACCATATCATTTATTGACCTATCTCCCCAACAATGCACCAGTTTCGGGATCCTTGCGGAGAGGTGGTGTGTGCTCTGCAATAGGAATATAGATACCGTTCAACATGTTCTAGTTGATGCCAGCCTAAACCATCAACTTAGTGTCCGTAAATTATTGTTCTAAATGTGGGTGACGTACTGTTTTCGCCGACTCTTCGCTAACGATCTATGCTATGTTGTGAAGCGGAATGACCCGGGGGCCGTTGGTTTGACCGTCTATAGATATCTGCAGATTCTGAATATCCACATCCCCTCTTTAAGCGCCAGATATCTGTATCTGCAAATATCTTCGCCAAGATAGATATCTGTAGAGTAGACAGCTGTGGACAGCTGTAGATATCTAGGCATTTCTCACCATCCATTTGGCAGGTCTATGCCAAGGAAGGCTTTGCAAACGGGGCCGGTCTATGGATCTATAGATCACCGAGCGTAATCTTGATGAAGTCAAGGTGGCGCAGGAGATGGCTCTCTGACTCAGCTTCGTTGCTTATGTTTTGTTAGATCCTGGGTGACTATTCCATAACGCTAGCTCTGCCAAACGGACTTTGCATTCTTAGGTACTTGGCGTAACCAAAGTCATTCTAAAAAACAAAATAGCATTTGTATATGGTATGCTCCCTCACTCATCACCGACATGGGAATAAATACCACTAGACCATCCGAGCCGCTTGGTATCAATGTTTCGACAGCTCTTGTTTATTCACGACAAATAAACGATGCTCAGCCTACTCCTACGCTAGTCACTCGTCTGTTATTCCTCACACAATCTACGCCGCTACCAATATGCATTCCTCCACCACTTAACAGGAGGCAAAAGTCCACTGTGCACCGCCAGGGATTTGTCAGGGCAATCATTACATCTGTTTTCACCCCGCTAGATCACAACAGCCTGGTAAATGGATCAAATGTACGGGAGGCGAAAGAGTAGAGGTTGGGAGGACGGTAGCTTTGCTCTATGTAAGGCGGACAATTCGGTGCCCCAAGTGAAGTTCCGCGAGCATGTGCTCAAGCCACTTGTTCCATTCCAGCAATGACTAACACAGCGCAGTGGCGAAGTTTAGAGAATTTCAAGACCGCCGACGGACAAGGGCGAACAGCTTGTGTCTGTTCATAAAAGGCCGCGAATAAACTTTGGGTGTCAACCGACTGCCTGGGCATGAGGAATGACTGCACCAACGCCAACCTCTGAACTTTTTGGCGGCCTGAGTATCTACCTCTTCTTCTTCTTCTTCCTCCCCATACCTGCGTACGAGCTGCGGGTGTCAAATTTGGGATACTATCTACTGCCAAATGTGAGAGGCGGAAGAATGGCTGGGCGCTGCCAGGTTGCTTGCAGAAGAAGATGCTGCTGCTTCAGAAGAACGCAGAAAAAGGTATGACTTTTATTCTAAATGAATACTTCTACGCTTACTTGTGCAGAAGTCCGAGAGGTGGTGGAGCATGCCGGAGTTATCATTGCAGGTACATGGGTGTGATCTCGATCTCGCAGAAGTGTCGCGCGGAATCATCACAACGTCCTACCATCTCGCTGTCATCGGGGCCATATATATGGCCTTTCGCTTATGGAAGCCGCTTTCTGGGGGCTGGAAAAGATTCCGAGCCTTTGGTAATGGGGTTGCGCTACGCCACCATCGTTTGTACTTGAGTTTGTGCTTTCGTACAGTATTGCCGCCGGAGCCTAGTGCGTCATCCGGCTTTTTTCTCTTTGCTAGCACGTAGCTGTTAAACGATATTATGGGCTCGAAGACGTCCTATCAACTCTAAAGACTATCGTCTCAGTATCGAGATGCTAGATCACGAGTATCCGCTCGCTATCGTCGCTCATCCGCTACTTTACGAAAAATAGCATTTTCTGCAAGTCGAGTTCCCAATTGCTGATATTTGGAGTCCCAAAAATTGGATGCTGATGTTTCGTTCATGGGATAAACGTCAGATCACCATCATGCCGGCACAGCCCAAAAGATGACCTCAACCATCAGGCGGGGGGGGGGGGGCTAAGATGGAAGTTCATGGATCGATCCAAAATCAGGAACAGAAGGCATTCGAGGAACAAATTAGGCCGGTTCCACAAAAACATATGGCCCGAAATCAATGGGAAGGTGGTTTTCCAAGACCTACGTGGAGCATTGCCTTTTATGGCTCCACTCGGCCCTTGTTGGCCTATACGCCCACCGGAATGGATGGATGGTTGGAGGGAACGAGATTATCCATCGAATCTTTCTTTTCAGACGATGGGAATAGTGACACTATTCGGCAAGTTTGCTAAAGAGCTCGATAATGATTTTTATCGCCACGTCCTCATTCTACCGGTCAGCGAAATTATAAAACCTAGCCGAAGCCGGAGGATGGATTGCAATATTTTACATCGTGGCGCAATCATAAATAGTATCAATTAATTATAATTTCCAATTAATTTAATTTTAATAAATTGGCTCGGATGGTCTAGTGGTATGATTCTCGCTTAGGGTCGCTCCCTAAGTCTCAATTGCGAGAGGTCCCCGGTTCAAATCCGGGTTCGGGCCTTTAACTTTTGCATTTTTTTCCTAAGCCCGTTATCTTCGAATTCTGTTTTCTAGTTCTCTGCTGTAGAAAGGGCTCTCCCCGAATAAGAACCCATTCATACAAGAAAAATATGTTCATTCATCACCGTCCTTTTTCCCTCCATCTACTACTTAGCCAACACCTTCGCCCGCTCCAATTTCCTACCCATTTCCGCGACCACTTCCTTGACGGAGGCCCAGATGTCCGTCAAGTTTTGAGCTCCTTAGTTGCCTCTGGGACCAAGACTTCACGGCTTCTCGACTTCCTTACAATCCATTGCTTGACTCCGAATTGTTTGTGATTTGTGGTAATAGATTATAGTGATTTGGATTCCCAACACTACCCTCCATACCAGAATACCATCAACGGCACGGAAGTTATACGCCGACAATATGCACAATTTTCCGGATGCAGATTTTTGATTCTTTGCGGCCATTTCATGGGGAAGACATTCACGTCCCCACATAGTTCCATCAAACTCGTCTCTCCGCCGGCAAGGCTACATCGAATCTGTTCCACGAAGAAACCAAGCACGACCACCTTTTTTTCTAGTTCGGTGTATAGCCCACGATCAAAGACATCCTGTTGCAATAAGTCTTGTAAAGCCAGAAGATTCCATTGGTGTCGACGTAAAAAGACATCTAGTCCACTGAACGCCACCGCTACGTCTCCCGGAATCTGAAGGGCGGTCAGCCAACTAGTTATAATACTCCAATTTGTTTTTGAATCCACTATATCTCGCCGCCAGTATTATGTAAATCCTTCCCATGTGCGTCGGCACACTTGTATGTTTGGTCGATCAACTTTACTACTTCACAGCGTTGATATCCTGCAAAACGCTCCACCCCCTCAGGGATCTGCGAGCTATATCTGTGTTCGTATCTTCCGCGTCTTCATTCGGTTGCTGGAGCGTGTCCTTCTGGGGTAGGTTGGTAGAGACGAGATAACGAGACTTTCAAGCTGCTGGGCGAGATATCCCGAGACTCCGTAAGGGACGGCTCATGGCCAGTTTTTTTTTCGTTACTGACCAAAGTCGTGTCATCATGTTATTTTTACACCACACCCCATTTCCTCTGGTGCTGCAAAGACTCGGAACTGAAAAATGAGCTGGCGAAGAGACTAGACCTGATCAACAATATATGAACATCCTTTCGGTAGACTTCTGTAAACTGTTGCTCTCTTAGTTCCTATCTCCCAAAGATTTGGCAAGTCAGATGTTCCGGATGCAAAGAAGAATTTCTGTTGTATGACTGATACCGATAAGCTTTTTTTGGGCCTCGGAGAAGATTCTCACTCAAAGAAATCTTTGTCGCCCTCCTCAGAGCCAGAGATCTCTTGCGTGACAACTACTCAAGTCAGTTCCACATAATCATAAGCCAATTGTTGGAAGACAACACCAGGCCTTGCTTTGCTAACCTCCTGATCTTCGTACCGGCATTCCTGACATTTTCTAGACTAACGCTATTAATCATCGCCCCAATTACCTCCTCTCCAACCCTAGCCTTATCCCCTTTCTCCCGGTTCCGCTTGTTCGTAATAGCACGGATGAGCTCAGCCCGTTCCTGGACATGGATCAAGATCCGAAATCCCGGGACTATAATGATTTAATATATGGCAGGGGATCTCGTCTCGTCCCATGCCGAACACTAGCTATGGAATCATTTCTCTTGAGGTTCAAGGAAACGTGGTCGAGCACGGCCTTTCAGTGTGTCAAGAGGGTTCGGTAGATTCCATTGGCATTAACTATAAAGGTATTGCAGTTGATGTCCCCAAGATTTGAAAGCCTGTAACTCAAAGGATAATATCAGAAAATCGAATAGTGAGATTTACGGAACAACCAACTGACAAAGAACATCTTTGATAAAGGAAAGAAACGTACAACACCTCCATACCTCTCCGCCTTGAAGCGAAGAATGTATACTAGAAAGAGAAGGCGATTGCATATAACAGTGGAACGGTCATGTCCGGCCAGATCTAACCCAGACCGAAGACAATGTTTAGCCAATATCTCCGTCATTAACATTGGCGTTGAACAGCTAGTGCACTCGAGAAATATGGCAAGCTGACTGTCAAACCCACCAGATAGTCTTTCTCTTCATCTGAGAATATGTAGTCCTCGGCATCGTTTCTGAGGGTTGCTATAAGTTCAAGAATCCTACGAGGGCAACAGCTATCCATCTCATCTATACGTGTCATCAGCTATGAGTTGAACAGAAAGTCGTGATATATTACTTGCTTAGTGCATGATTTAAACCACCATACAAAGTCACACGGCGCTTATTGGTCTCACAACTCGGATCGTGCTGTGCAGCAAGGTAATTTGCAGTCGAGCTCGCAAATTTTCATATGGCCAGAATACATCCCACCCAGGAACGACGTGCTCTCCGCTTCCATTCGTTCGACTGCCGATTGAACCGTCTATAATTTCATCCAGAGGATTGGCCTAGTTGACTATTAAGAATACTGGTATGTGTTTTTGGGCTTTTGCAGCATCGGAGCAAAGATTTCGTAACATTGTCGAATCCAATATTCGTTCGATTTCTCCTCCCAAGGTATCTCCGGTATATATTGCGTGCACATGGTCACAGGGATCGCTCAATAGCTGACAACAATCGGGATATACCATACAAGCAATGCTCGCTCAGTACCCAGGACTTTTGAGCAATGACGGTATCGTGGCAGCAGTAAGACTGAGGCCGGTATCACCCGTTTTGACAAAGAGAGTGGGGCTGCAATCGAAATTGCATTTCTGTCCTCTCATGTATGCAACTCTCTTCCCTTGTCGTAGTTACCAAGGCAAACGAGTGCGGTAAAGAGGTGTGACTTTCCTGCACCTGGGATGCCATGGAAGAAGTACAACCGTGCATCCCGGAACGTTTTGCGACTAGAAAAGTGGAAGTAGAAGTATCCTGATCTTTACTAGTGCAAGCCTAGAATTTGAGGGTGAAGTGTGAGGAGATAGACTGGCTTCTGCAGACCAAGAAGATGCAAGGCCTACGGACAGGTTTCGTCGACTAAAAGACGCTGTGCTCCAGCGGCCGTGTGTGCAAAAATCCATGGTCGATACCGCGGTAATGCCAGATACCATCCGAGTTACAAAGGTTCTTGTTCATGGAATGTATAGAGTCGCCGTCTGGTCGTTCGGTCTAGGAACGTGAGTTGTGGTAATAGAAACAAACACCCGACTATCACCTGTCTGTAAGTGAAGAAGCTTAATTAGTTGACGACAGAAGAGATGGAGTGAGCGATGGAGTGAGCGATGGAGGGGAGTATATACGCAGGGTGGGCTCTGTTTCGCTGCTTTGAGGTTGGGAACATTCTTACCATGACTCTAGAGTTAAAGGACGGAGAGAACTGGTGTAACAAAACATGAACAAGCAAACGCTAAAAAAAAATCCACCAAAAAAACAAAAAAGTAATGACAGGAGTGGGACTTGAACCCACGCTCAGTTTCCCGAACCAGGAGATTGACTCTTGTATTAAGGTAGGCCTTAACCTGGCGCCATAACCAACTCGGCCATCCTGCCGTTGATGTCGGCAGAAAGGAATTTGTTGCATGAGTATAATAGAGGGATAGGTGACGAGGGTGACGTGGGTCATCCCGCTGTCAATGAAGGTTAAGGTTAAAATTAAGGTTTGGAGCTAAGTTAAACACAACCCTTTGTTTGTCCGTCTTGCACGACATGACATCTTTAACACCCACACCCACCATATACGACTCTTCTTCTAAGTTTCCCCGTGCGACTCCAGCTTCTCGGTGCATGTTTGGGGAACTGACGACACCTGGTGAGACAGTTATATTCGACAAAATTAGAAGCGAAACGGAACTCAACGATACAACAAGCGCTAGTTGGTGAGGGTAAGTGCGCATTGTCTTCGTCGTCTGCACCACATACTGAAGCAAAGACCATGAAGAACACGACGATCACAACGAGAAGATCTTCTTCGATATAAAGTGGGAGAGACAACACTTGAACTGCTTGGATCTCAAATGAAGAAAGTATGGATTGGCGCCAACTGGGCTGTATATTCCGGCAGGATGGCATCGCACCATTTTTAATGTCAAGAGCGGCTATCTCTGGGGGTATTCAAACAGTTTCTCACGTTTCAACATTCGTTGGCAAACTACTAAGTTCTTACCAATATACAAACCTTGAATGAATGGGTCTCGACACTAACGACTTTGAGGATCGGAGCGACACTGTAGCCGAATTTCCATGCAGTTTCACGGATGGCAGTACCAGATACGACAGAGCGCAATGGCATCTTGAGGCGGTTGAGAGATGCACATTCACCCCAAGAAAACCGACTATGCGAGATCTAAAGGCACAGTGTGAGTTTCCCGGCATTAACTCGGTAGCGAACGGGTCGTTTATTAGATAGAAGATTGAAACTAATGAGCAGACCACAGAACCTAGGGATGTTCACAGAGAAGTTCACAGAACGCGATATACAGCAAACGCACAACCGCCTAGCCGCAAATCCGAACAGCTGAATGAATCGCGACCAATACAGAAGACAAAATTTGACCTTTAATTTCGACAACTTATCACCTGAAGATTTTTGTCTAATCTTTATAGTAAATTAAACCGGGGATTTTCCTTCCGAAGGCTCTAATAATAGAAATAAAAATTGTACCCTTTTGCAGATGCACGGCAGATTTTTAGCATGTCAACGAAACATGGCTGCCTTCCATCCTGTCATCGAATTGTTACCGACCTCGGGGACTCGACATCAACGAAACGAGTCTACGATCAGATTTGCGGAACGAGGCGGGCTAGGGATTTGAAGTTAGAAAGTGCGGGGCCTTGAGACCGGGTATGATATATGAAAACCATGAACGCAAAATTACCTGCCACGAAGAAGCATCAAGAGTGATGCAAGCATGCCAACGTAGAAATATTCTACATGGATATCTGGACCAGACTGAGTTGCTTCAGATAAGGTAATGGTGCCGATATTTCCTTTCTGTGTCCGTGTT